CAGCTGTTAAGGGAGATCCCATGTTATGGGGGAAACAGGCCAGGCATGTGTGTGTGTCCAAAATCCTGACCAGAAAGAAGAGCAGAGGGAAAAGGGTTGCAGTGTGACCATACCCCTTGGGGGTGGGAGGTTCTCTCTCTCTCTCTCTCTCTCTCTCTCTCTCTCTCACACACACACACACACATATGCACATACCTTCTGGCTATGAAAAAAATTTTGAGGGAAAAGAGGATCAGCTAGCAGTATTTTTTAACATGAGCCAGTGAGTTCGACGAACAACCCAAGAAGTATAATATTCCAGAAACCCGAAGCAAAGTGCTTTAACAAAGAGAGAAGGACCAGCAGATGACATAATGGTTACGTTGCTGGACTCCCAGACAGTCAACTGCTGTTTGAGTCCTGGACCCAGCAGCTTAAAACTCATACATGGCAAGTGTGCATGTGCGCACAAAATCTCAAGAGGGGAATAGAGGAGAACGGATTGCTGTGTGGCTCTCCTCCTGGGAATGATTTCTTATTGTCTGTCTCTCTCTCTGGCAGGCACAGGTGCCCCTATAGCAAAAAACCTCTCTTTTTTAAAAAAAAAAAAAATGTGTAGAGAGTAGACCTAGCCTAGGTGGTGGATGGTAGCATACCACTTCTCTATGTTGGAAGCCATAGGGACATTTGGGTCCAGGCCTGCCCTGCCCCCCATAATCCTGTCTGGGAAGGCTTGGGGGAAGGAGGTCATAGCGTCAGACCCTCTCGAGGGTGCTAGTCTTTCTGTCTCCAAGTCTTGAAAGAAGGGAACAAAGGAACTTCTTTGTGTGAAGAGGAAGGTGTAACCAGCAGTGTTGAGGGCTGTAGGCTGTGGTCCGGGGAGGACTGAGGACCAGCTTTAGCAATGTGCTCCATGGCACAGCTGTGTGATAGCGTGCTGGAGGCAGAAGCCTGTTGAAAGTGAGTTTGAGAGACAATAAGCAAAGACATTGGGAGACAACTCTAGGGAGTTTTGCCGCAAAGGGGGAACAGAGAAATAGAGTGTAGTTAGCAGAGGAAGTGGATTGAAGTGTTTGCATTTTTAAAATTTTAAGATGGGAGAAGTATGCTGATCAGATGTTTGCTGGTAGGAGTGAGCCTTCAAAAGGGGCAACTTGATGGTATGGGAGAGAAGGAGTAATTGACTTGTTAGAATGGTATCTTCCAGTGTACTTGAGGACATAGGGCCAGATACAAAGCTAGGAGTGGATTTATGTTACTATGAAAGGATGTATAGCTCAGCGACAGTGACAGGCAGCGTGTATGGGTATAGATGTTGGTAGGTGGTTAGATGTGCTTGTAAGAGTCTGCAAATTTTCATTGCTTCAGTTTCCTTGGTAAAGTATTATAGAAAAAGTAGTATTATTGTCCTTAGGTTGCGTGGGTAATGTTAGGGTGGTCCGTGTTACCGCTGTGGACTAACTCACAGGCTCAGACAGAAAACATAGAAAAGGTTTATTTATTTTGCAGGAGAGGGAAGGGGCCCTGAAGAGTAGGGGCTATGGGCTTTTACCAGGTCTCTCTCTCTTTTTTTTTTTTTTTTTTTTTTTTTTAGGGGGAATTTTTTTCGTTA